CGGCAGTGGCTGAATCAGGGATGCCTGGGGCACAGCCAGACTATTGGAAGGGGGGGCTATGAGGGGTCTGGGGTAGCATCCCCCCACCCCACCCTAGACCCCTTATAGCCCCCCCTTCCGATAGTCTGGCATATTTGATAATCCGGCACCCCCTGGGTCCTAAAGGTGCCGGATTATCGGAAGTTTACTGTATTTTCTTTTGTAAATTGAAAAAAAAAAATCAGTAAATTATAATGAAAATACATAAGAAAGGGGTGGGGAACCTAAGGCCTGAGGGCCAGATTCAGCCCCCAGCTTAGTTGGATCTGGCCCCCAAGGCTCAGGGCTCCTCCCCAGCATTGTTAATGCTCCAAAATCACTAGCCTGGGCACCCCTTATGCTCTGGTGTGCCATGGGAATGTGGGGAGTGTCTTTTTCCTTCTCAGTCAGGGACCGCATCAGTAGTGAGGGTTTGTGGGATTTTTTGTGTATGTGTTTCTCACTTGTGTGTGGCCCGCGACTGATGTTGCTGTCAGCAGTCTCTGACCCTAAGGGTCCCCACCCCTGGCATCAGAGAAAACACACACACACACACACACACACACACACACACACACACACACACACACACACAAGTGCTAAAAGCTAACAGACAAGGAGAGTTGTAACATCTTACTCCTTCAGTAATAAACCATAGCGAGCAAAGCTATAATAATGGAATAAAGCTAGAATGATTTAGAATGTCTAGAATAAAGCTAGAATGTCATTACAAAAATGCAGATTCAGAGAGACCATAATTTCATTCCCATAATTCAATTTCTAGATACCATATTTCCAAGAATGACAGAGAATGGTGGGGAAACTATAGTATAGTTTGAGGGGAGGTGGTGTTATTTTTGAGTAATGAAATACCACTTGTGTTTAATGTGAAAACAAAAACATCTTATGCAAAAAGTCTGTATCTGCAAGTTCCAAAATGAAACCCTGAAAATGCTGGAAGAAAATTAGCTTTTCAGACGTGACTATGTGTGAATATACTTAAGTATTACAAAAAACATTTTGAAGCAAGTTATTGTGTTGTACATGTTCATTTCTAAAGTTGAATGACTGATGAACATTGTTCAATTTTATGGTTGTTTACACATAGATAGCTCTGTGCAAGCATGTAGTAACCTCTGTAATGCTTCAGAGGAGAAGCCATGTTAGCCTGTAACTAGAAAACCTTAAAAACAACTAATAGTCTTACAGCACACCTTAGAGACTAACAAAAAATGTAGATGGTATCATGAGCCTTCATGTGGGTTGTGCCCACGATGATACCATCTACATTTTTTGTTAGCCTCTAAGGTGCTTTAAGGCTTTTTCCCTGTAATGCTGTTAATCCTGAGAGATATGGCAGGATTTTCCCTATTTTGGGAACTTAGTGGGGCTGGTTTTGTACCACTGAAGTCAATAGGGTCAGACTCAGACCCAGCCCGCATGTAATGGTGTGAATTTGCTGCAGAGTTAGCCTGGAAGTGTGAGCACACTGCAAAACCACACCCAAGTCACTGTGTCCTCACTGATGCTTCCTTCTTTCATGTGTTTCATTAGGACTTCTGTGGGCACATTCCATGATTCTTCATGCTGCAGTAAACTGAGCTGCTTTGATTCTTTTCCATGGAACAGTGGGATATGTTCCGTTCTGGGTACACAGGGGGAATTGTAGGAAGACATTGGGGGATTTAGCCTGCACCCTCACTGAAAAGTGGGAGGTTTATCAGCCTGAGTGAAAGCCGAATTTAGGCTCTAACCTGGGGTTGAAAGCACTTCTCTCAGGTGAGAGTTTTTATGGGTGTGTAGGACAGGAGCATCATCTGGGTAAAAGCCTGGCCTAATTCTGCAGACAGAACCCAAAGTGGCAGTACAAGGTACTAGAATGTAGGTTTCCTAGTCCTAGTCCTGTGTGCTATCTATTACGTCACACAGTCTCTAAAAAAAAAGAGCCACTCCTAGGGTTGCATCTTTCCTGCTTGTGAGTGGCAGCACTTAGAAACAATTAACAGTAATATCTTACTTCTGCCAGAAAACATGACAAGAGAGACAAGCTGATGTATTTTCTTTGTGTCCCCTGTCAAACCACACATTCTGAAATGAAAGTTAATAGGCATGGCTCTATTTGTACTTTGTATGTTCTGAATTTCTATTTCCAGAATTTAAAGGGCACTGGTCTTGTCAACTGACCTAAGCTTTAGTCAGAAGTCTCATTTTTAAACTCTAAGGAGGGAAAATAAATGTACATTCAGTTCCTTCTTCCTTTTCCATGTTTTTCTGGACTTTCTTTTTAAGTTAATAAGCTTTGAACTCTTTAAGGTAGTAAGGATAGATTCCTACTAAGGTTGCTTTGGCTTTCCTAACACTAGTAGAAGAAGGAGGACGGAAAAAGTATTGTAGGGTGAAAGGATATCCTCATTGAGCGTTGAACTTCCTCATCCTTTAGGTCTTGCTAACTATTCAATCCATATATTGGAATAATAAAACTATAGAACTGCCTTTTCTTTAAAAAAAAAAAAAAAACCCATCAACACAACAATTTAAAAAAATCTGTACTGCAAATCATTCTCAAGAAGGTGAAAAAGACTGTTATTTTTATTGTAATTCTCTTATTAAAACATAATACCTTATTTAAAAAACTAAGCATGCATAATACATTTTACAGCTTGTTATATATACTTATATAGCCAAATCAAGTTCCCATTGAAATCCATGGGAGTTTTGCCAGTAATTTCAAAGGGAGCAGAATTTGACTGTAAATTAATGCCAATTAATTCTTTAAAATAAACAAAAGTTTTACAAAATGAGAAATTTGACTCATAATCAATTCTGGAAATATAGCTTCTGTGCTGCAAAGATTTAGGCACATACTTAACTATACGCTTACCTTTATACACTGTGATAGTGCACAAAACTAAACATATGCCAGCCTAAATTAGCACTGTTGAATATAAAGCTCACTTGTTAAATCTAAGTCAAACAGTATCCTCTAGTCACTGATTTCAAAATGTTAAAAAATGTTCTAAACAACTTATTTTGTAACAAGCTGCTATTATTTGAATTAGCTGAAACAAGCTAATTAAACACAACTGTGACAGAGATCCTTAATTTCTCATACTGACTTCAGAAGATAGTGTGCATTACAAACATTCATGGCAAGCAAGGAAGCAGTTTTGCAGAGTAATTGCATTCCAAAAACATGGAGGTAATCTTTTCACTGTAAACATGTTGCTACATCAGTGTGAGAAACTAGGACTTCTTTCATAAAAACAATATTGTGACTTGGGCAATAGGAAGGAAATCTTTCCCCTGACAAAAGTATTGCTCAGTTACTGCTAAAATATTCCACAATATTAAATCTGGTGGGCTAGATTGATTTCCAGTAAAATAATTCTGTGGGCTCCAAAAAAGTTACAGCAGGCAACAGTCCGACCCAGTGGATTAGAAAGTATTAAAATCAGATTCTCAGAGCTGACATTAAATCTATACTTTTGTAACTGAACCAGAAAATAAATAAAATAACAGTAGTAACTTACCCAAGAGATACAGGATTAGAGACATCGTGTCTTCAGACAGCTACCTAGTTAGCAGATTTCAGATAGATTCCTCTCTGGCAGTCCATAGATTTCTCCATGTTTAATGAAAGTTTGTTTAATCCCATAGGTAAAATCTGCTGCTCTACTGCTTTACTAATTGTTGTTCATCCTTAACAACGTGAAGCTAGTAGAAGTTATCTCCATTCCTTTGTTAGGGGAGAAAAACTTCTGAATGTTGCAGCCATCATGCCTTAGGAAACAGAATGCAAGAAAAGGGCCAATGTCTATGCAGGATCAGGGGGAAGGGGGAACTCTTGGGGGTCTCAATAGGAAATGTTTTTCATTGGATAAGAAAGTATTATTAGCAGCTGTGATCCCGCCCCGTCCTCTGTGCTTCATCGTTCCTTAGTCACCAGTCGCAGTACTGATTTGTGTTTTCTCCTAAAGCGCCTTGCCCAGGAAAAGCATCCTTCACAGTTAAGAATTAGCAGCTTAAGTACAGCTTGACAATAGATAAAGCTTTATTTCCTGAGAGGTTAGCTGGCCGACACAGCCGGTGGGAGTGTGCTTTGTAGCAAGGCAAGCAATTGTTAAGTGGATAGCCACGTCTAAAAGCTCAAAGTTTGGTTTCCATAGCTATTCTGATTTCCCCCTTCAATTAAAAGCGGGGAGGGCGAGAAGAGATTTCTGTGTCAGGCATGCACCAGAAAACACCAGCCAGCAGCGCACTTTATAAAAGTAATATATTGCCATCTTTGCATATTATCTCCAATTCTATGTGCAATTGTATAGTGAGCTAGAACTGATTACCTCTTGCTCTCAAGACATTTGCTCTCAAAGCCTTAGGTTCCCGCTTATAATGTTTAGGAAAACGTTTATGGAGATTAGAAAAGTTACAAACCCAGTCTGCTAAATCTTACCGGCTTAGTACATCTGTCTCCTGATTTACCAGTTAACTAGGAGTTTTGTTTCTCTGTCTTACCTTTAATGCCAGCCCTTCAGCTAGGAAAAGGCTTTGAGGTGTTTTTTGTCTGGGAGGAAAAGTAATGTTAGTGGATAAATTATTCAGCTTTGCTTTCATATGGTTTCTTTCTTCCCAGCTTTCTCAAGCCCTCTGTTTGGGATCCTGAATCTGCGTTTAAATTTTAGTCTGTAAAAATTAGCCAGACAATTCACATGCCCTGATTTAATTTTGTTTATTCTCCTTTTCCTCTGCTCTCTTCTGGCTGCTCTCATAGGCAGTCAAGGCCAGTAAACAACTCATTGTGAAGCTGGAGTGAATGAGCTACTGGTAGGTGACAGAGCACTGCAAAAAGAGAATTCTCTGTCTTGCTCCTACAGAAGGGGAGGAGGGACGTGTCCAGTGGACTCTCAAATAACTTCCCACATCCTAGCAGCTGTGATTCTCAAATGCACAGACATTGCGGTAGCCTTTCCCTTGAACATAAATGAATTCCATCCTGTCAGGATTCACTAAAGAGACCTACATAGATTCAAATGGCAAGTCAAGAATCTGCAAATGCTTTTAGATGCAATGTGAAAATAGGCCACTTTTCCCTTTTGCACCTAGGATTTAAAGGTGTGAGAGAGAATATAGTTGAATAATAAAGCTAGAGCTGAGGACATAGCAGCTGTATTGATTTACAGAGCAACCTGTAACAGAAAGCACCCCCTTACAACCAGATTAATCACATTTCAGTGGGCAAAGAATATGGGACTGGAGGGGTTGAGGAGACAAAAGCCACTATCTCAATCCAAAACTAGGGTGTAGGGCTGCAGACAGATTGAACCCCTGTTCCTGAAGTCAGTACCCCAGTGTATGGGCTGGAATATAGTAGCCACTGCCCTTCCATACTCCTAGCATTAGGTATGAGGGACACTGACCATATAATGGCAGATTGTATAGTCTATTCTCCTGTCATGACCACTTCCCGAGCCAGCTTGTGCTGGTCTAACATAGGCATGTCTACACTTAGGAGTTATTTTGAAATAACAAGGCGACCATCCACACTACCAAGCCTGTTGTTTCAAAATAAGGGGCTGGTTATTTTGAAATAACTCCTGCTTGTGAAGAGAAATAAGCTTATTTCAAAATAGTTATTTTGGAAGTTATTTCAAAATAACTTATTTTTAAATAACCTAGTAGTGTAAACATAGCCATAGAAACCTGTTCAGCGCACAGGTGTGCAGAGAACCTATCCCATGCACCAGTACGGGTAAATGACAAGATTCCCTACATCTTTGGCTGAATGTTTTAAATGGTGTGGGGGCCTTGTGCTGGCTTTTTTCCCCAAAGTAAACAGTACTCATAGATTTATAAACACAGGAAAGTTTGATTTGGCTTCCTGGAAAAGAGACAATCAAGCAACTTGATTTTTACCATAGTAGGTAATGGGAGTTTTAGTGCTGATTTCAGAAAGACTCTTGGGCCTTTGCCTTTCAGACTGAAAAACAGAAACTGTTTCATTAAGTTGCTTCTACATGCCCTCTGGACAAATTAACTAAACCTGAAATCTGCACTGGAGGTCACCCTGAAGGTGTTCAGGGAAAGAACTGCAGGTTAGCTGATTTAAAGCTGTTCTATTGGGGCTCGTTTACATTGGCCCCTTTTCCGGAAGGGGCATGTTAATTTCACGAGTCGTAATAGGGAAATCCGCGGGGGATTTAAATATCCCCCGCGGCATTTAAATAAAAATGTCCGCCGCTTTTTTCCGGCTTTTAGAAAAGCCGGAAAAGAGCATCTACACTGGCCCTGATCCTCCGGAAAAAACAGCCCTTTTTCAAAGTAGGAATAAGATCCTCCGGAAAAGGGCTTTTTTTCCGGAGGATCGGGGCCAGTGTAGACGCTCTTTTCCGGCTTTTCTAAAAGCCGGAAAAAAGCGGCGGACATTTTTATTTAAATGCCGCGGGGGATATTTAAATCCCCCGCGGATTTCCCTATTACGACTCGTGAAATTAACATGCCCCTTCCGGAAAAGGGGCCAATGTAGACGTAGCCCTACTGCCTTCCTGAAGAGAGAGTGGAGTGGCTTTCCTGCCCCTGAGGAAGTTCATCCCATCCCCCTTTCTAATGATTCCAAATAATTCCTTCCAGACTCCCAACCAGTTTATTTCTGGAGTTGGAAAGAAACTTCTCCCATAAGCAAGTTATTCCATAATTACCAATTATAGGCTCTTTTTTTTTTCTGGAGCATGACTTACAAACAACTGCAAGAGACTGAACTAGAAGGGTCCCTGTCCTGGTCCAGTACTGCAGTTCCTAGGGCTCTGGAAAAACAACCTTTCCCCTATAGAAGGTACCTGATTACACTAAATGTCAGTTATTTTTCAGAAATGTTCCCCAGGTGGCATATCCCTGGTTCCCTCACAAGGCCTTTTCACATACACAAACACAGCCCCCATCCTTCCCCACTTCCAGTTAAACAAGCAGAACACTGTGCTATACCATCTATAAGCTCAGGATAATTTTTTTCAGCAATAAAATATACAAATAGCCAACAACTTGATCTTAATGTAAGTTTATTTGCTAAATAAAAACGAACAAACAAAAAGAGGGGAGAAGATGTTGACTCCATCCTTGATTACAGTTTGGGGAAGTGTTTCTTTGAAGTGGAAAAACAAATTAATAGATTCCATGATTTTTCACTGCTCAACCCATCCTGTCACTTTTGATTCCGTGGGTTTTCTCATTGACTGGGGGGAGCATGGAATTTTGGGGGGGGGCACCCCTTGTTAAAATATTGGGAGTATATTAGTAATCTCCAGCTATTTTGGAAAACGGGAACCGGGCTTTTTTCTTTATTGGGAACCACACAGATGCTGAGAATACAAAACATTTTCAGCAAAAGTGCCACCAGGCCTTTAGAACACATCTACTTGTATATCTTATTGTACAAGGAAGCCCTACAGACATGTTCTTTTCTATCATACCCAAGCTTGTATCAGTAATCCACTAACTTTGTCACATTCTGTCTTGATTAGATGCATGTTACATGCATTGAATTTAAACAAAATTGACTTTCAAAAGCAAATTTTACTACCAAAATGGAATATCATAATTACAAATTATCATTTATTTCTCTTGCTGAATCTGCCATTGCCTTCAGTTAGAATCCATACCCAATTGTGCCTAAAAGTCTACTTATACAGGTAGTGTTCCTATCTCAAAGTACTTACAAATGAGCTACTCAAAACTGTGATTTTTGGGGAGAGGGTGGGAAAACTTCAGATTTGGCAATACTAAAAAGTAAATTTGTATAAGTTTTGCTAAATTGTTCTGTTGTTTACAAAAAAAACCTCTTCAAATTCAAAAAAATTAAAGCTATTTTTCAATATTTTAGAAACAATTCATTTTGATTTTATATTCAAATAAATTTTATTTAAAAAAATTAAAATATGAATGCCTGAAATCAAAATAAATTATTTTGTTTTGGTTCAAACAGAACATTTTTTGATCTAAAACAATTTTTTCAATTACTCGATTCACCAAAATGTTTTAAAAACCTTGGTTTTGGTTTAACCTGAAACTGTTTTTTTCCAATATTGCCAATGAACTAAAAAAATCCATTCTTCACCCTACTTTACTTCCAAAGAAGCCAGTACAAAGTATTGAATCAATCAATATATAAACATTATAGTTATTAACTGTTCCCAAGTCTCCTCCTTTTACATGAAGGATTTTTTGTTTCCTTTATTTTGTACAAACCAGACTTAATCTGTAGCTAGTTTCTGCATGATTTATAGCTTGATATTGTAGCATCAGCCATATATTCTGAAGTAGCATATTGGGCCTGTATAAAAAAGCATTTCTGTATATCTTATCAAAGTCATGCAAAAGTCTAGGGAGCCAAGCTAAAAGCACCATTTTTGTTAAAAGTGATACTTCCAGAAATGTTACTACAGTATTTACAAATTATTGCTGTAATCCTTATAAGGATTATTAAATATTATATCACATTAGCTCTCAGAGAATCCATTCAGAATCAGGGCCCTGTTTTGTAAGAGACCTATAAAATCAGAGGTAAATATATTGTTCAGCAAAGAGTGTACAATTTGAAGATAATCCGTGTATAAAGGAAGGAGGAGATGAAGGCAATAAAATATTTACCATTTGTATTACAGGAGAAATGGCAATGACCTTCCCCCTCGTGTTTAGATTTCTTAGTGTTTGCTGTCCATACATAGATACTACTCAGTTTAGTTTTGTAATGACATAAATTTTGACTCTCTGATCTGCCACTTGCTCACCTGACCCAAGTCATGTTGGCATAGCCATTGAAGTGACTTATAAGCCCCATCGGTGAAATCATCCTCAAGGAGAAATGTGAAGGAGAGAGAGAAGATAGCATCACACATCAAGTCAGGGTGAATATATGAAGTCATCATAGTCCATCAGTATGGTGATGTTTTTAAAGGCACAATAGTAGTGAGATCACTGCCATCCTGCTTTGGAAGTTGGTTGGTTTGGCAAGATGGACAACCTGGCTGTGAGTTTATGAATGTGTTTAG